GTGTGTGTGTCTGTGTCAAACCCTAACAAATACAAGCATATATATATGCAGGGAAAAAACGGTAATTTTACCTCGGGGACTAAGCGGGACGGGGCCAGGGCCGGGCCGAGTCCGGGTCTGAAACACCTATTCCCGTCCCCGGCCCGGATATCATCGGGGATGAATTTTTGAATACCATCCCCGGTCCGTAGGGGATATTTTTCAGTGAATAACCACTGAATTCGGGGCCGGGGGGTCGAGTCACCATCAGGCCGATTTCAGATTGCCATCCTTAATCAACACAAACGTATGTGAACTATAAACAATTATTGTACAGCTTGCTAAATATCAAATGCATCCAATAATTTTTACTGTGAAAACAAACTATGCCCTAGAAAAACTTCTTTCTGTGGTAACCTATGAAGCACGAGTACTCCAAAAAATGGTGTCATATTAGTACCGGGTACTTACCGGGTGCGAGTATGCGTACCAGGTACGCTAAATACATGCTGGGTATAGCAAATACATTTGGGTAAAACGTGGGTAAGGCATCGGTACGACGAGGTGAATTTTTTTTTTCCCCTTACAACTGCTAGAATTTATTGCAGCCTTTATTATTCTTCTTTCAATTTTGAAAATATCAAGTAATTATTTCTAACACCCTTTACCCATGAGTCATGATTTTGCTCACTTTTGCATTCTATTTTAAACAATCAAAAAGAAAAAGAAAAAATTATATATAACTTTTTAGACAAATTGTTCTCTTTTTAACTTTGATATTGAATCTTTGATTTGTATGCTGGATGTTTAGCTGTAAATTTATAATTTAAAAAATTTAAAAAATTTGACGTATCACAGTCGTACCGTACCCTACCTTTTTAAGAATTTGAGGTATCGGCATACCCGTATCGTACCTGTATCCATATCTGTACCCGCACTCGTACTTCATAGATGGTAACAAATAGGGGAGATTAATAATATTTTTTCACAAGAAACAAATAGAAACGAGAATATCTCACCTTGCTGAGGGTGTGAGCGAGGACAGCACTAGCGACGCCTACTCTGCCTATAATAAAGGAATAAGAAGGCGACAGATCTAGAGTTGCGGTGTGTTGGTTCCTCTTCCAATTGTTCCTCTAATGACATATCTGATCTCTATGGAAATCGATCTCAAGATTTTCTATCCAAAACCTCAGAGTTCGAAAATAAGAATGGTATTTAAGAGAGAGAGAGACGATTGTAGAGGAGGAAGAAGATCGGCGTTGTTCATTCAGAGCACCTCAGATCCGTAATCCATTTGAGAGACCTCAGATCTCAGATTTGCCACAGATTCAATAGATCCGAAGATTCACCACTAGGAACTACAATTAACAACCTAACTTCCGTTGCCCGAGATCAAGTTGTTCGATGAGAGTTTGGAGATGGTGAGAGTTCGGCGATTGTTTTCTTGAATCTGACGATGGCGAGAGAGAGAAAGAAGAAGACACTATGGTAGAAGTACTATGGTGGAGGAAGGCGGAGACATTGGTGCATTCACCAGTGCTGTGAAGAGCGAGAGAGAGAGAGATGACAGGTTAGGGTTTTGAATTTGTGTTTGGTCGCTTATATATCTTAGCGTATATCCATACCTAAAGGTAGGGTGTAAATAATTTTAAGATTAAAATGTAGTTATAATTTATACATATTATGTTAAAATTTATAAAGTTTGTGTCATTTTTTGATAAAAATACTGAAAAAATATATTAAAATATGTTTCTTCTTAAAGACAATTAAAATATATTGTGTGAGTTTAATACATTTTTTTTTTCATGAAGACAACTTAAATAATACATACATATATACATTCACTAAAATTTTTTGAAATACAATATAGAATACTATACTCCTTTAAAAATGTGCTAAAAAAAAAAACATAAATTCGCTTGTCATATTACACATGAATGTTAAAATGCCAAATCACTAAATTTTTTTTTTAATTAGGAACTCCAGATATTCAAAAAAAATTATATGAATAATATTTATCATATGTACATTAGAATCACACAACAAATATATTACATTTGAATGGTACAACTAAATAAATATATTACATTGCAAATAAAATGTTAAATAATTTTTTTTGAGTGTGGATTTAATTTTTTTGTTACAGGAAAATCAACTAAATAAATCACTCTTACTTTCCTTTTAAATAGTTCCAAACAAATAGTTCCTTCCCTATCACACTAATTTCTATAACACAGAGCACTAACCACAAACCAAGTCACAAATAACCTCTCTCTCTCTACATTCTTTGAGAAACCCATAATCAAACTCACATTTTCTGAGTCAACCCAGCATTTAGAATAGATTTTTTTAACAATCACATTAAAATGATAAATTAAAATCGGAGCAAAATAATTGTCCAAATTTAAACTTTTCTCTTTCTTAACTGACTTCAATTTTATAGAGATGAAATTAAAAATAAAATCAAAACCCATTATAATCATAAATATTTTGAAGTTCGCCATTTATGACTTGAAAAGTCCAAACATAAATTTATGCCTAAAAAAAAAATTCACCAAATAACAAAGCCATTTTATAAGCAATAATGAATAATTATTTCATGAAGCAACTAAAGTAATACACACATATACATTTACCAGAATTTTTGAAATACAACCAAGAGTATTATACTCCCTTAAAAAGGTGGGGAAAAAAAATGAACTCTCTTGCCGCATTACACATAAATGCTAAAATATCAAATCTTTCAAATTTTTCTTTTCATTAGGAACTCTAGATATTCAAAAATAAATAAATAAATAAATGAAAAAAACAGTCCCTTTCTTTTTAGAATCACATAACAAATATACTATATTTGAATGGTACAAATTTTTTTTAATTTTTTTTTATAACAAAATGTTAAATACATTTTTTTGGGTTAAGTTAAATACTTTGTAAAGTTGATTCAAAGCAAAACGGATTATGTTAAATACTTGGGTTAAGTTAAATACTTGTAAGTTTTGCATATCAAATATAAATTACCTAAAGTTCATGTTTGTCAAGATAATGTCTGTTTTAAAACCTCTTTTGTTTTAGTAACAAACATGACTGATAAAATTATTTTGGGTTCTCCATTTATATATTTATTATATCCATTTACTACATCTAGTACAGGAATAACTACGCATGTTTTAGGTCAACCTGTTACCTTTAAATTTTTATCTCCTCCTGAAATATTAAAACTCAATCAATTACAAGATTGTTCTATTTCCTATCAAATTAACCGCCTAACTCGGCATTTAAATTTTCTTAAAGAAGAAATAAATCATAAACGCATTGACCAACAATTAACTGATCCAGTTCTTATTTCTCAAATCAATGGTTTCAAATTAAAACTTGAAACAACTGTTTGTTCCACTTTACCTACTGCCTTTTGGCACAGGAAAAAATATGTAGTCACTCTACCTTATATTAAGAATTTTGATGAAAGACAAATTCCTACTAAATCTCGACCGATCCAAATGAATCATGAATTACTTGAAATGTGTAAAAAAGAAATTAATGAATTATTAAACAATGGCATTATTCGTCCAAGTAAGTCCCCATGGTCTTGCCCTGCTTTTTATGTTAATAAAAATGCTGAATTAGAACGAGGTGTACCTCGTTTAGTTATTAATTACAAACCTTTAAATGTTGTTCTCGAATGGATCCGCTATCCTATTCCAAATAAAAAAAGATTTAATCAAATGCCTTAGTCAAGCCGTTATTTTCAGTAAGTTTGATTTAAAAAGTGGCTTTTGGCAAATTCAAATTCATCCGAAAGACAGATATAAAACTGCATTTAATACACCATTTGGTTAATATGAATGGAATGTCATGCCATTTGGTTTAAAAAATGCTCCTAGTGAATTTCAAAATATCATGAATGACATATTCAACCCTTTTAATCATTTTTCAATTGTTTACATTGATGACATATTAATTTTTTCAAAATCAATTAGTGAACATTGGAAACATTTAACTGCATTCTTTTACACAATTAAAAGTCATGGTCTTATCATTTCTGCTCCTAAAATTAAATTATTCCAAACTAAGATTCGATTTTTAGGTTATGATATTCATCATAATACTATTTTACCCATTAGTCGATCCATTAAATTTGTCTCTAAATTTCCTGATGAAATTCTTGATAAAACCCAATTACAGAGATTCTTAGGATCCCTCAATTACATTGCTGAATTTTACAAAGACCTTAGGAAAACTTGTCAACCTCTATTTGATAGGTTAAAGGATAATCCTCCTCCTTGGTCTCCTGTCCATACCTCTATTGTTCAACAAGTCAAACATTATGTCAAGTCTCTTCCTTGTCTTGGTATTTCCACTGAAAATTCTTTCAAAATTATTCAAACTGATGCCTCCGATATTGGTTATGGTGGCATTCTTCTTCAGCAAATTACTCCTCAATTATCTGAACAAATTGTTCGATTTCATTCTGGTGTATGGAATAAAGCACAATTAAACTATAGTACTATTAAAAAGGAAATTTTATCTACTGTCTTGTGTATTCAAAAATTTCAAGATGACATTTTAAATCAAAAAATTTTACTTCGTGTTGATTGTAAATCTGCTAAATATGTTTTGGAAAAAGATGTTCAAAATCTTGCTAGTAAACAAATTTTTGCTCGTTGGCAAGCTATTTTAAGCATTTTTGATTTTGAGATTACCTATATACCTGGTTGTCAAAATTCCCTGCCTGATTTTCTTACCCGGGAATTTTTACAAGGGGGTAAGGGATGACTACACCATTTACTTCTTACCATAAATCCCGAATTACCTACTTCACAACCCAAATTAAACAACTTACCCACCGCCTTCACCGCCTCAAATTAGCCAGACCAACTACCAAAAGAGCCCAATATATCAATTACCATCAGATTCAAGCTCGTCGAAATTTACTTGCTCACAACTACAACTGTTTACATCGCCATCAAGATTATTTAGATCTTCTTTCTGGCTGCTAACCATTGTTTCTTTCTCAACAGATGTCTCGCCCAAGGTCTCCTTCTAAGGCTTTGGTCTCATCTTCCAGTAAACCTAATCAACTTATTGTCCCTCCTCCTTTGGAGTCAGTCACCCCATCTCATTCACTCGAAATGATTAACCGTTACCAAACTCTTGGTACCATTCATCGTCCTGATTATTCATCTGCATTGGCTTCTGATCCTTTTGCCTCTAGCCAATCAGTTTCAGTTACTCCATTCCCTGTTAACCCTATTAAACCATCCCGATCTGAATACACCAATTCACATGTTACTAACCTGTTCTACAAAGAATCTAGTCACCCCAAAACTCAAACCATCAATGAAATTGCTAAATTCCATTTTGGCTCTGGATGCCATTTCACCCTTTCACATCCAGAGAAAACCCTTTCCTACTACAAAGACATTCTACTCAACCACCATTCCATTTTGATCAAACCAATCCAGGATCGCACCTATGCTTATAAGATCCTATATCATTCAATTTATATTCACAACATTGTTTCCATGGCTGAATGGGGAAACCCTAACCAGCTTCGTGATTTACCTGGCCATTCTATTCAATATAATTATCATGATTACGTTGATGCTTGGTTCAAGATTTTCTTGTACCAAAATGAAACTTTTAGTCATTCTTGGTTCATCTCATTTGATCAAAAATTCAAATCTGAAATTCCTACTTGGTTTCTGAGATGGTGGACTCACTATGGCGCCATTTCAGATATCCTCCCTGATGATCTCAGTAACATAATTCATTATTTTGCCTCTGTTTACCCATTCTCTACTCACCAACGGCAATTTCCATTATTACTCATATTTATTGCCAAATACAAAATTTCATGGATATTCAAATGGCATTATGGGATTGATGATAATATCATCATTCGCCAACACACAGTTAAATGGTGGGTGAAGTTCAATGTTCCCAGAATTCTTGAAATTGTTCAAGAAGAATTCCCACCAGATCAGCATACTCCAACTCCTGCTCTTGCTAAAGCCCAGCAGAACCCAACTGCTGCAATTACTCAAGGAAGTCAGCCCAGTTTTCCTCCAGTCAACCTTGGAAGCCCCTCATCCAGTGGTTCCAAGCCCAAATCATCCAAATCAAAGTCCAAAGCTGTTGCTGCTCAATCAGCCCACTCAAAGCTTAAATCAAAGTCCAAAGTAAAGACAAAGCCCATTTCACCTCCTGCTCAGCCAAAAGGCAAGCCCAAGAGTAAATCCCAGTCATCCAAAGAAGACATGATCCAGCTAGCCCATCGACTGTTGGATCAAACTAAAACCCAATCCACCGATTCAGGCAATTCAAAAGACGGTTCAGATCATATCCACTCCTCTGAAGATTCAACTAATCAATATTCAGGACCCGAGTTTCAAGATGCTCAAGATCCATTTGTATAATCAACATTGGATTCCATATACATACAAATTAGCTTCAATCAATACTATTTTGAGAAAAGCTGCCAATTTGTATTTATATTGATTCCATTATTCACATGTTCCACCGAAAGTGATGAATAGTAAAAGTTACTGTTCACTTTTACTGTTCACCGTCACTATTCACCCAGTCAACTTTTGTTTAAAGCTGCTCAACTATTCAATCAATCAGCCGAAAGCAACCGACAACATCTGCTCTACCCCATGCACTGCCAGCTGCTTTCACCAGTCAATTATTACTTGTCTTTTCTTTATTTTGTATATATTGTAATGATGTTGAACTCATTCGGCAGACTTAGAAAATTTCTGAAAATCTAAGAGCTCTGAGTGAAAACCAACACCCTTATGCTGTAACCAGTTCAGATCCTTACAGTTGCTACTATAATTGTAAGTCAATTTAAAGTTTTAATTAAATGTTTTGAATGTTTTGGTAAAAAGTGCATTCCAGTTTTGTTCATTCATTCCAGTTTATTTCATTTGCTATTTCGTAATCCATCTCCTTCATTCTGTATGTACTGCTTCTCCCTTTCATGGTATCAGAGCCAAGTGATGTTGTATCCTGTTTCTCACTGTTTTGCTACTTCTACTTAATCTTCTTTATTGTTTATTTGATTAATCTGGTTTTCAGTTCATCTTAATCACCCAAAAGATCAGTCTGTTTTATCCACCTAGTTTAAGTCACCCACTTCTTCCCAGTCTCGTATAAGTCCTTTGGTCTAGGCAGATTCAGACTTTGGGGTTTCAAGATAGGGTATGTATGTATACTAGGTATGAGGTACAATTGACAAGAATAGGGTATGAATTAAGATATCTGTAAAACTGATTAATTAATACAGAACAATGAATCGATTATTTAGAAGTAACTCATCAATAAGTTCTAGGTCCACAACTTTACCCTTCTTACCTAATCAAGGTTTAGTAATTAATGAAGAAGATGTTGAAATACAAAATGATAAATTTGATCCTGGATGGAATATACCCAAATTGCCAATTAAAGAAATTTATAAAACTACTTTTTTACAGAATGTTTTTAAAGTTACTCTCCATGTTAAAACTATTGAACAAGTTTATGCCTTAGAAAAACCACTACAAACTTGCCAATTATTTGATTCAAAATTAATCAAACGACATTTAAATAATGGTTATAATTTTATGCATATTGGTCTAATTCAAGTTGATGTCAACCCATTAACTATAGTTGGTAAAAATACCTCTGTTTTATTATGTTTACGCGATGCTCGTTTTCTTAATTACAATGATAGTTTAATGGGTATGATGGAAACTGGTCTTCACAAAGGTCCCGTACATTTCAACTGTTTTCCTGATTTTACACTCAGTTTACGAGATCCACATATTCTCAAAGCTTTAACGTTAAATATTCAATTACATGGTTCATACACTGAAATGTTAGAAAAAGCTCATAATATTGCCTTAATTTATCGTGTCCATTATAAATGTATGCAAACTAATTTAAATGTTCATGCTTTACATAAAAGCCCTAAAGATAAAACTTTATTAATCCAAAGTAGTAGTAGTAGTGGTGAGTCAAATATAAATATTCCCCAAATGATTGAATGGCAACATATAGATTTACCTGAACAATGGGTTGCTGTCAATGAAAATTACAAACACAATCAACAACAATCTTCAATTCAGGACATTCAAGATATTCAACAATATAATGATGGTTCTGTCCGAATTAAATTTAATCACAGTCAATCATCTAGGCATAGTACCTCTAGTGTCCCTTCCGAAATTACAACTGAAGATGAAATATTTAATACTCCTTTATTTCGCAAAAATAGTCAACTACATCTTGGCCAAACCAACCAAACTTCCCAAAATAAACTAAAAGGGATTGATAATTCTACCACTTCCCAGATTAGTAAACCTGTTTATACTACTACCACACATTTACCTGAGGAAGAAATAGCTTCAAACAATTCTCCAACACAAACTGATTTCGAAGAATTTATACCTCCGGTCAATCCTCAACTTATGACAATCACAAAAGATTTTACTCCTGATTTAGATAAATTACTTATTGACTTTAGGTCCAAAGCAAATAGAACTAGAAGATATGCTTATCGAGCTCAATATGATTCTACTCAACAATCCAAAATAACGCGAGAATGGTATAATTTTATGGTTCAATATGGTTTCGAATTATCTTTCTTTGATTATATGGATCAATATTACAAAAAGATTAACACAATCACGAAACATAAATGGAAAACTTCTCCCACTACTTCTGTTAGTTCTAATCATCCTCCTTAAGAAAATATAATTATTGATCATCAAGGTTTTGAAGTTCCAGCCTCTTCTTTTAAGTTACCTGGTACTGACCCTGAACTTGAAAAGGTGATTGAACAAAATAATTATACTAATCAATGTTTAAAAACTATTGGCAAACAATTAGATAAATTAGAAACTAATTTAGATGGCCAATCTGCAAAAACTATTAAACCCTTAGATCAACCTTTACTTAATCTTCCTAGTCATCGTTCCAAACGAACTACCTTAGTTACTACTGATCAATCTACTGTCAAAGCCATTGAACACTTATTTACTAAATTAACTTCCAATGATACTTCTACCTCCAAAGAAAAAAGTGTTACTGTTTTAAATCAACAACCTTTTACTAACACTGTTTTTCATCAAACTGACACTAGCACTACTGATGATGAGATCAACCAGCTTGCCCAACAATTTCAATCCTCTCATCTAACTAAAATTCATTATTCCAAAGTTAATCCTCAAACTACAAAAAACTGGTATTCTCGACCTACTCCACCTGACCTCCAATTTGAAGAAACTAATCTTAATAATCAATTTTCTGTCTCTGCAAAAAAATTATATGAATGGAATATTGATGGACTCAGTGAAGATCAAATCCTTCAAAAACTAAATCATTTATCTATGGTAGCAAACAGTTATCTCAGTAATTATCCTCAATATTCTCAACCTGAAATTGTTTCCTTACTTACCTCTGGTTTTACTGGTATGCTCAAATCTTGGTGGGAAAAATACCTTACTGAAGAACAACGTGACACAATCATTTATGCTAATCAAACTAATGAAACTGGTCTACCTATCTTTGATGAAACTATTGGATGTTGTCACCCTGATGGCATTAATCAATTAATCTATACAATCGTCCGATATTTTATTGGTACTCCTACAAATATATATTCTCGCATACATGATCAACTCAGTAATCTTAACTGCCCAACCCTAAGTGATTTTCGATGGTATAAAGATGTATTTACTTCTCGAGTCATGTTACGAGATGACTGTACTAAATCATTTTGGAAAGAAAAATTTATTAACGGATTACCTAGCTTATTTGCCCATAAGATTAGAGATGTCCTTAGTCAGCCCACTGGTGTTATTGAATATGACAATTTAACATATGGTGATATAATTAGCACTATTCAAAAAGAAGGTTTAAAAATGTATATTGATCTTAAACTTACTCAGAAAGCCAATAAAGATAAACATAAAGCTAAATATGAATTAGGCAATTTCTGTGAACAATATGGTTTACCTCCTGTTGCACCCTCTCGTAGGAAATCACAAAAATATTCCAAATATAAACCTAGATCGTCATCCAAATATTCTAATAAATATAAAAAGAACTATTCCCCTTCCAAATCAAATGATAAATTCTATACTAAACCTAAAAAGACATATTATAAATCCAAATCCCATCCAAAATCTAAATCTACCAAAGATGTTACTTGTTATAACTGTGGACAAAAAGGTCATTACTCAAATAAATGTAAAGAAAAACAAAAGTTAAAAGATAAAGTTAATCAACTTCAAATTAATGATAACTCCAAAAAACAATTATATGAAAATTTTCAATTAAATCAATCTATTACTAGTTCCTCTTCTTCTGACCATCCTGATACTTCATCTAACTACCAATCACCAAGCGATGATTCTGATGATAACATTAATATCGGATGTAATGATGTTTGTTGTAAACCAGTTAAACAAATTACCATTCTTACCAAAAACACTCAAGAAGAATCCGCTCTTATTGACCTTATTGGTAAATTAGATGATCCAAAATTAAAACAAAAATATACTGATAAATTAAAATCCTTATTAATCCATTCAGATACCAAACCAAAGTTTGATAAACCAATAATTAGTTTAACCAAAACTTTAGAGAGATTTAAAAATAAACAAAAAGAAGTGACCTTACAAGATTTACAACACGAAATCAATCAGATTAAACAAACAATCAAAGAATTACAACATAAAGATAAAAAATTACAAGACGAAATCATTACTTTTAAACTTAATAAAAGTCTCGATAATTTCCAAAATAATGATCAAGAATCTCCCCATGAATCGGAGCATGATTCTGATCCCACTCATCCTGATAATTTGTTATTTGATAATAGGTCACACCAATCTCAATCCAACAATCCTGAAGAAAAACGGTTAAGTCTAATTAATAAACTTTATATTCAAAAATGGTATTCTAAAATAAAAATAATTATCAATGATTTTGAATTAGAATTAATCGCTTTAATTGATACTGGTGCTGATTTAAATTGTATACAAGA